GTGTCACTTCAGTTACGTTTCGTCGAAACCTGTCATGAGCCTCAGCTATGGTAGCCTGGAAGTCAGGCGTGTCAAACTCGTTTTTGTGGCGGGCCACATTCTAATTACCATTTCCATTGGAGGGCCGTGATGACTGAAACTGTTTAAAGAAGTCAAGAATAACGTTTTATTCAATCATTTGTGTAAGTCACTGCAACGAGGAGTTTGGGAACAAGAAAATGCTGACAAAATGTCACCGATTTATCGCATATGAAAATTTGGTCCAGATTTTAGCAGGGATCGTGGAAGTTGCCATCTTTGATTTGTTTTTTGCGAGCCACTTAAAATGATGTGGTGGGCCACATCTGGCCCCTGCGCCTTGAGTTTGACACCTGTGCTGTAAGTGATTAAAAAAAAAAAAAAAAAAATCACATCCACACACCAAACACCCGCGGTCACACTAACAGGCTGCAAAAAAAAAAAAAAAATCATCCTGAGTTTGAGACAATAATACTAAAAAATGATGTGGTGATTTTGCTCCTAAAAAAAGTATATTTAACATTTTTGTGAAGTTTTGCAATATTACGCAGTAACACCGCACTTAAATCCAGGAAAAACAAACAAAACAAAACAAAACAAAAACTGTTTGCGTTACATCAAATTTCTCTCTTAGATGTACGAAAACAGTTCTAAATGACGAAACGCAAACTTGGCGTACTTCAAAGTTCAATACAACTGAACATTAAAAAAAAAATCCACAGTTGTGTTCCTGTTGCCCGCACATTTTGCGAGCACACGAACATTCAAAACTCACCGTCTTTCGAGGCGTCATTTGGCAAAACATCCAAATCTGGCGGCTGGCCAGTGGCGGCACGCACGTCGGCGACGAAGGGCGGCCCCCCACCGGTGTACAGCATCCGGATGTCGCGCGCCTCGCTCTCCTCCTGCGCCTGCTGCCTCCTGAGTGCCACCTGGGCGGCCATGACGCGCTGCCTCTCGGCGATGAGGGTGCACTTGGCGCACACGCAGTCCCGCCAACGGCAAAATCGCTTGTGGCCCTTCAGCGCCGACACAACGCCGTGGTTGCGGCAGCGTGCACATTTGGGGGTGCGCGGGTAACCCCGCTCCAGCGAAGCCCGCAGGAAGAGGGGGGGTGGAGGGCGCAGCAGGTCGTGGGCGCTCAGGCCCAGCGGTCTGGCGCTGGAGTCCATTTTGTGAGGAGCGAACGAGTGGCGGAGGCACGCTGCAGCGCTGCCCTTTAAGGCGTCTCTGCAGGTGGTGCCGAACGTAACCAGACACCCAACCGAGAAAGCCTCGCCCCTGTTCATTGTTAAAAAAAAAAAAAAAAAAAAGTTCTTGATACATAGCACTGTACTGTAGTGCATGAACTCATCAGTTTTCGAAAACGCTTATCCACATTATGGCGACGGCTGAGCTGGAGTCCATGCCAGATTTTATTTTTATTCATTTTCTTTCTTGACTTTCTTCATCCAGGTTTGGCAATTGAGAGGAAATTTTTATGTCCAATACCGACGTGAATGCAGACAACAGAGTACGACCGACACCAGTTTGTCCTTTGGCACCCATCGTTACACAGATTTTTTTTTTTTTTTCAAAACCACTGGTCAACAATTTTTTTCTTTTTTTTGAGATGCAAGTAAATTTTTCAAGATAAATTTTCGAGGCTGATTTAGAATCTGGATTTGCTTTTTTTTTCTCTAGCACATCAAGTTTTAATCTTAATAAAAAATAATAATAATAATAATATAGTATGGAATGCACTGATTCATTTAGTCATGAATTAAGGGTTAGCTTAGAGTTTATTCAGGGTTAGAATCTTTTTCTGAAAGGTCAGAGCTGTAAATGACAACACATGGTGAAGTCCGTATTGCGCAACCTTTTATAGGTCAAACTATTTTCATCTGCGTTTTTGGAAGATTTTTGGTTGGTGTCCCCCCCCCTCCCTCCCTATACGCGGATTTTAGAAGAGGTAAAAACGAAACAAAATATAAGCAAAACAAATACAGAATGGTTCAGAAAATGGATGGATGGATAAAATATTTGTCTTTCGTTAGTTTGCAGCTTGCATGGGGCAAGAGCTTCTGTTACAACGCAAGTTTAAAAAAAAAAAAAGCATATTGTTGAGGTACTGTGTTTGTCCTGCGGTTATTGATTACATACGTAGTCTGTTATTTAAAAATATAGAAAAAGTGTTGGCATGTATTTATTATAAGGCAAAATTTTTGTGGTTATTAATTTCTATAAAGAAATATAAAATATTTCTCCCCTGCGACCTGTACGGATAAAGCGGATCAGAAAATGGATGGATGGATAAAATATTTGTCTTTCGTTAGTTTGCAGCTTGCATGGGGCAAGAGCTTCTGTTGCCTGGGGTGAGCTGGCTTCAAATCCTCCCTTTAAGCGGCGCTAGTGACCAATCAAAGGTCACCATTAAGATGATTTGAACACAACAATGGTGACAAAGCAACCACTCATTAGCTACCTGGTTATTCTGCCCAACCAATTAGCTTGGGGAGAAGAGGAAGCGGGAATTAAGCCCCCCACCCCGCACACACACATCTGTTTACAAGCGAGTTGGTATTATTGGCGGAGGGATAATCACACCTTGTCACATGTTTCATTGAGTGCGCCGCATTCAAACGTGCTCAACCTTCCTCTGGTTACAAGCGACAGATTGCCTTGCAAGCGCTGCATTGTGTCGACCGGTTGCTGGGTAGATTTCACGGGGGGCCCCTATCAATTGGGCCAATTAAAAAATAAAAAAAAAATGGGGATACATCAGCCACGCCCACCGGGCTGTTCAAATGGCAGGAACGTCGATTTTAAATGACCGCTTTGAATCGTTGCTCTGCATTGAATATTAAAAAAAAACATTGTAAAAAGAAGCTAACAGCTCAGGCACAAGACGTTTCTGCATTAACTATCAAGTGGAACCGGTGGGATTATTTTGGACAAGCGGGCGATAGCCGCAACCGCTCACCTGTTCCTCGCTTGGACGCCCGCTCCATCCGTCCCCGAGCGGCGGATCTTATCAGGAACAGGCCTGCAGCACCTGCACGACAAACAGTACCTGTGCATGTGCTGCTCCCCCCCGAAGCAAAATAATCCGCTGGCACAAAAGATGCTTTGAGATGAAGCCATGCGATTGGCCGGCAAGGGAGATCATACGAGACGCATCCCGAGCGGGCGTCGCTAACATCGTCGGGCAAGCAAATGTGGGGGCTTCGCCTTTATCGCGCCATCCACGGACGAATACAGTTGGAGCGTTGAGTATTTTATCTTTCCTTATTTTGCCTGTACACACTCCCTGAAGCGATTACTTTTCAAGCTGCCATTTTTCATTTTCACAATGACATTTTCACACCATTTATTTTATGAATTTATTGAGAGGGGCCTCATGATCTTGTATTCACTTATCCTTCATTTAAACAGGTACAAATGACAAGAAGCGCTAGTGCAATTTAGCTAGCGCTAACGTTAGCGCACGTCCATCAATAGCGACAGCAACAGGAATTTAACTGAAGCGATAAATGAACACTATGCATTAAATGGCAAAGCCTCTCATGGACACACACGGGAAAAGGCACAAAAAAAACCGACTGCAACGCCAAGACAGCTCCCTGGCCTGAAAATGTCTCAATTGTTTTACGCTTATCTCAAGAATAGTCGTTGTGGTCCGAAAAAGTCGGAAATTCTCATCTCTGTTTGATTCATTTTAGTCGATTTTTGGAGGGGGAAAACCACGTTCCAGATGCACTCCTTCCGTTTTATCGCTGCTGTTGTCGTTTTTCATCCATCCATCCATTTTCTGATCCGCTTTATCCGCACAAGGGCGTTCTGGAGCTTATCCCAGCTGTCTTTGGGCAGTAGGAGGGGGGACACCCTGAACCGGTTGCCAACCAATCGCAGGGCACACAGAGATGAACAACCATCCACGCACACACTCACACCTAGGAACAATTTTGAGTGTTCAATCAGCCTGCCATGCATGTTTTTGGAATGTGAGAGGTACTCTGGAGTACCCGGAGAAAACCCACGCAGGCACGGGGAGAACATGCAAACCCCACACAGGAAGGCCACAGCTGGGATCGAACCCAGGACCTCTGCACTGCAAAGCCGACGCGCTAATCACTCCCCCCACCGGGCCACCCTCGTCATTTTTCATTTCATTTACGGTAATTAGATGGCGTCATTTTCACACGGTTCATTTTTTTGTGGGGGTGGGGGGGGCGGCCTCTGCTCACACTTGACATTTTATCCTTAATGGTGTAAGTTGTCATTTCATCTAACAATCACGCAGTTATTCTTTTCATTCACTCTCTTGCCTTTATTTGGATGTCCTGCATGACTATCATCACATCACATTATTTCATCTTGGAAGTTTTCACTGAATGGAAGTTACTCTGACATTCTCCTCCTGCTTATTTGATGAGATGACCTCCGTGTGGCTGAATGTACTCCCTCCAAAGCTAATGACTTCATGCACATTTCCTCCTTGCTAAGAGGATTTGTACGTTACCCCAAATGTAGTGACCACCCCCCTCAAAAAAAAAAAAAAAAAAACTTTTTCCCACCAAAAAAAAAAAAAAAAAATGGTGGGAGGGCGGACGCCCCTAAGGGTCGCCCCCAAACCCCTACTGGGAGAATTGGTTTTATTCCAGCTGTGAGCATCTAATCCCCAGTACCCCCAGTAACACGCCGACAACTCAACGACCACGTCCCATTAAGGCTCACCGGATGGCCGGAAGACTTTGTTCCCGGATCAGCATTTGGACACTTTTCTAGTTGATACAGAGTTCGGCATGCAGGCTCGTTGAGTCAAACGGGTTTGACCTTGTTTTACAGTTGCAGAAGAAATAAACAAAGTAGTTGACCCGGAATCCTTTTTTTTTTTTTTTTTTTTTTTAAAAGGTCACCACCTGCTGGAACAAAGCAGGGGGGCTTGTTATGAAAGCTGGCCCTTTGACGTCATCTCAGGCTATGGTACGTCCTTTTAAAAGCTGCTTGAGCTGCGCAGGAAGGCAGATGGGCTTCGCTTCGTTTTTGGCCATCGTTTTGAACTGAAAACCGCTTTTGGAGTGGCGAAAATGTACACAGCTGTTCTGCTTTTTGCCTTCGTGTGCTGGACTGCCTCTGCCCATGCAGACCATCATCAGCCTTGTCGTAAGAATTTCAGTTGACATCTTTCCATGCCGAATGCGAATCACTTCAGTGAGTTTTGTAAGTGAAAAGGAAACAAATGTCTTTCAGGTTCACCCAATATGACCGGATCACTTTCGGTGGTGAGTGATAATCTTTTGATTTTGAACCCAAAAATGTGAATGGGTTTTTGAAAGAACTAAATCATGTGTTCTTTACTCATTGCGCGCTTGTGGATGAGGCCAGATGGGAGGAAGGGCTGAAACGAAAGCGGTCGGACTTTTCACATACGACTCGATGAATAAGAAACTCCGCTTCCAGTCGAACTCAAGCCTTCCCTTGAACGTAACCTTGGATCTGGACCTCTTGGTGTTCTTTGAGGAGGTAATAGCTTTGTCTCCCACACTGACAAAAATGATGTGTTGATATTTTATTTTGTCAACCGCTTCCACACAAGAAAATCATCTGGATCCAGATCCGTTTTATTTTATTTTATTTTTTTAAGTACAGTACTCTGTACGTTTACTTAACAAATATATCTGAATCCAGATGATTTTATTGTATGCGACCACCTAAAAAAAATAAAATGGAGTAAATTCAACACAAAAAAAAAATACTTTACATTAAATTGCATGTCACTGATTGTGTGTACCAGGGGATATTATACAAGATCGACAGCAAAAACCAGAGCTGCGAGAAGAAGGCGCTGCAGTCCAGAAAGCACCCTTTTGCTCTTCCCAGTGATGCCACCTTCATGACCACAATGACCTCTGGGAGCGCCTTCATTGAGGGGGAAGGCCTGAAATTTCAAATATGGACAACGCCAACACCGGGCTTTAAAGGTAGAGGGGCAAGACACTGACAGCACATTCACTTTAGGTTAACGGGAAGACTAAATTTCCCACAGGTATGATTGTGACGGTATATGACAGGATTTGTCTGAAAATGGATGTGTTGTTAGCAACGGTGAGCCATCAGGCAAACTAAAGGCCGATCTTTAAAAAGAACAGCTGTTTATTTTCCCGGAGCTGGCTTCATGCAGAAGTCTGCGATCTACATTGCAACCGTAGTGCTCTGTAGAGAGCGCCACCTTTGCCCCCTAAAACTCATGTTAAAAAAAAAAAAAATGCTGTTTCGCAACTCATGAAGGAAATAGAGACAAGGGTCCTTGTTCAAAACAAATTTTTATACGCAAGTTTGTGATACAAAACTTCAAATGCAGCTTCCTCCTTTCTCACACTCGCTAACGAAAACCTCACGCCGAAAAGCACAAACTGAGTGTCAACGTCCCCGATCAGATAAAAAGGCCTGTGAACTTGACGTTTCAGTTCAGCTCACAATGACACAACATCAAACCTGATAAAAAAACGTTCCATTTATCTTGTCCATGGGAAGGAAGTCCTGCTTTGTTGCCACCTGGAGCCCACCGATTGTATTCTTCTGTTGCGCCCCTTTTATCTGGTCGCCAGCATTGTGCACTGACTGCGCTCCATATACTCGACATTGCAAATAGACTGCAGTGGTGGCGGGCAGTGTTATCTCTTATCTGTTCTTGGGCATTCATAGCATGGGTTAAAAAAAAAAATCATTAAGATTAACATTTTACGAAAACATCACTAGAAGTTATGTATATTTTTTTCCGCAGAATTGTGATGCACTTTGGGGTAAAAAAAGATTTCTACAGATCTCAAATTTGTATGAAACAACTAAAAATAGCACTAAAGTCGAGAGTTGCCC